CACTTTTAGTTACTATATGCTTACTTTTAACTTAACTATAATATAACAGCCTTAATTAACTTACTAATAAATAAAAATATTATTAACTTAGATTAATTTATAGTGTTCTTATAAGTAACTTATAAAGACTTAAATAAAAAGTTAATAGCTCTAAGTTACCTAAACACTTTATAATAAAAAAAAAAAAGCTTTACTTTACACTTTACTAAGTTCTGCTAACTTGCATCTAATATAAGCCTAAATAAGATAGGTCTAATTATAGCTCTATGTAACTCTCTCTTAACTAAACTGTAACGCGCTATAGTAGAAGAACCCCTTTTAAACAACTTTAATATATATGTAAACCTAATTGCTACCTATAATAATAACATAAGGTTTCTTCTTATATAAGCCCTAATACACCTCTAAACTAGCGCAGTTGTAAATAAGGACTCTAATATAATAAAAATTAATTTAAATTATGCTTTAGTTAGTTCTAGAAAGCATAAAGATTATAAAAAGAAAAGTTAATACTTTAAGTGTAGTAAGCATAGTTATATCTTCTAAAACTCCTTTATTTTTTTTTTTAAGTCTACCTAAATAATTTACCTAACTAGATTTAATAAAAAATAACTTAAAAAAAGTTTTATTTTTTATACTATAACTATTATAATTACTTACTAACACTATAAAAAGTAGATTAAACTCTATGTAATAAACATAAGATGTTATAACCTAATTCTAGAATAACTATAGCTATATTAGCATAAGGTTACCTTTAATTACTAAGAGTAAGTTTTAAACTTTAACTCTTTTTAATGCTAAAATGTATGCTTACACTTACACTTAAATAACACCTAAATAGCACTTAATATAGAAAGTCTCTAAACTTACTTTTTAATAACTTAAAAAAAAACTACTTAAGTAAGGCTAATAAGCTAAGCCTTTTACTAAGATAGGCTATATAAAATAATTTAATAACTACTTAAACCTAAAAAAAAAAAGCCTTTAAAGAACTTTTACTTACTTAATTTAGATATAAACTAGGACTTAAACAGCAGATAGACATCTGCTATATAGAACCTGCTTTATTTATAACTCTAGCTTAACAACTAAATTATAAAATCTACGCAGTTATAATTTCTAATATAGACTAAGCTTTAGCTCTCTAAAAACGCACTAACCTAAAAATAATAGTTTTTTAAGACTACTATAACCTGTTACATGTCTTTTTTTAAGACAAGTTTAATAAGCTTTTAATATAACATCTATATAATTACTAAATAACCTTTAAGCTTAGTAAACAACTTAGTTATAAGCTACTATATAAGATGTTACTAAATAAATTAAAAGTGCTTTAAAAATACTTTAATAAAAACTTAAAAAAAAGGTTTATTTAAGCTAGCTTTTTACTAGTAGTGTTACTTATACTATTTATAAAAAAACCTAAAAGTAGGCTTTAATTTTATATTAACTACTAAGAACTAAACACTATTACTATTAAAAACTAATACTTAATTTTTTTTTATAAAAAACCTTAAGCTAACTAAGTAAAGTAAAGTATTTTATAAAGTTAAATATTATTACTGCTTTTAATAAGCTAAGAATAGTAAAGGGTAATAAGTAGCTAATAGTGTTTTAGACTTAATATAAACTATTTAAGTACTTAGTAATGCCCTTTAGCTTAGCTAACACGCCTAGTACTTTTTAACATTTTATAAATAACTTACTTTAACTCTACCTAGATATGTTTTGCACTATGTATATTAATAATATTTTAATTTATAGTAATAGCCTTTTAGAGCATAAACAGCATGTACACCTAGTGCTAAAGGCTATAAAAGAAGTAGGTCTGTAACTTAACATAAATAAATGCAAGTTTTACTAATTAAAGGTTATATATTTAGAATATGTAATCTTTATAAATAGCATTTAAATAGACTCTATTAAGGTTTAGACTGTGCTAGATTAGTAATACCTAAAAAACATAAAAAATATTTAAGCCTTTATAAAATTTACTAACTTTTACTAATAATTTATTAATAACTTTTTATAGCTAGTAAGCCTTATAATTACACTTACTAAGAAAAAAATTTAATTTAACTTTAACTTAAATTACTAATAGTTTTTTAACTAGCTAAAAAAAGCCTTTACTAAAGCTCTAATACTCTACTACTTTAACTTTAAACTACTAATACTTATAGAAGCTAATACCTTAGACTATGTAGTAGTAGGAGTTCTTTTCTAGACTAAGCTAGATAGGACTATTAGGCCTATTACATACTTTTTAAAAAGAATAAGCTTTATAGAAGGTAATTATAAGATCTATAATAAAAAATTACTTACTATAGTACACTACTTTAAATAATAGCAACTTAAACTAGAAAGTGCAGCGCATCTAATATAGGTTTTATTTAACTATAAAAACTTATAGTACTTTACAACTATAAAATAACTTAGCTACTAATAAGCTTATTAGTCTAAATATTTATTTTATTTTAATTTTAAAATTACTTATTATTCTAGTTAAGATAAAGGGAAACTAAATGCTTTTATAAGGTAATTCTAAAACATCCTTACTTAAAAAAAAGTGTAAAAGGCTTAACACTAAACTTTACTTTAACTTAAGCTATTTTTAGACCTTAACTTAAATAAAATAAATTAAATAATTAATTAAATTATTACTAATAAGTATCTAAATAATAAATTTATTTAAAAAACCTTAGACCTACTTTAAAATAGCGCTAGTTAGTTAAAGAAAGTAACACTAGCTAACTATAAAAACTAAAATAGTAAGCTATATTACTATAACTAACTTATAATCCTTAATTTTAATAAACTAAGAATTAAACTACTCTAAATTATATATAACTTACCTATTAGAGAACACCTAAGCAAAGAAAAGACTCTTAACCTACTATAAAGAGAGTACTACTAGCCCTGCATGTTCTATACTGTACACTAATATGTATTATGTTGCTATACTTACTGTAAAGTAAAGGCCTCTTAAGAAAAGTATAATAGCCTACTTAAACTACTTCTAATTTTTAAACAAGCCTAAAAAGATATATTAATTAATTTTATTATAAACTTACTTTTATCTAAAAAGTATATAAATATTATAGTAGTTATTAATTACTTAACTAAGTATTAACACTTAATACTATGTTTCTTTATAACTACCTTTAATATAGCCTAGTTATTCTACTAATATGTATAAGTTTACTATAGCCTACCTAACATAATTATATTAGACAGAGGTACATAGTTTGTTTTAGCCTTCTAAAATAAACTCTATAAATAGCTTTAAATTATTCTTTATTTATCTACAGCTTTTTACCTAAAGACTAACAGCTAGACTAAGAACATAAACACTGTAATAAAATAAGTCTTATAAGTATATATAAACTACTAGTAGAATAACTAGGTAAAATAGTTAGCTATAGCATAGTTTAAAGCTAATAACATAACATCTAAATTAACATAAGTATCTTTGTTTTTAGTAAACTATAGATACTACTTTTAAATAAAATTTAAACTACTTTTAAATACTCTCTAACTAACTTATTAATTTATATAAGTAATAAATGTAAATAGACTTATTAATAAGATTTAAAATATATTTAAATATATTTATAAAAAGCTTACATAAGCTTAAGCTCTTTAATAAGAGTACATAAACTAATTCTAAACCTCTGCCTTTATGTATATAGCTAGCAAGAAGGTCTAGCTAGACACTAGAAATATCTAAATAAACTAATAATTAAAGAAACTTAATTAGAAAAACTTTAGCCCTTTTATAGTAGCTTATATAGTTTTATTACATACTTACTAATTAATCCTACCTAACAGCATAAAGATACACCCTGTGTTCTACATATTATTGCTGCGCTAAGTAGCTCTTAAATCTAACTATCTACCTAAATAGCTAAACCTGCTACTTAAACCTATTATTATAAATAATAAACTAAAATATGTTATAAAAGACATTAAATAAATCTAGTTTAATAAAAAAAAATGTATCTATAAATACTTTATAAAATAAACTAGATACAACAAACTGTTATAGGAACCTGTAGAAGCCTTATAAAAGAACTCTATAGTAACCTAATTCTACGCCTAATACCTATCTAAACTAAACCTGTACCCTAATAAAAACAACCTAATGCTAGAACTACTAATGTAAAGGATTCTCTTTTTAATAAAAAGGGGGGTACTGTTACAGTATCCTCTCTAGATTCTAGACATAACTATATTAGACATGTACTAGAGTATTATTAGTGCATGTTTAACATAAATATAACATAACATAGACATAAACTTAAGTATAAACTGCCTTAACACTAACTAAACCTAAAATAGGCTTAATTTATACTTAAAGTGCTTAGACTTTTAAGCTAAGTATTTAATTACTAATTTTTTTCTAAACTTTCCTGTTTCTCACACAACGTCTTGTACCTACTATAATACCTCACATAGTAATTAAACTAGACCTCTGTGAAGCTCTATAACCTTACTCGTGTACAATCGTGACACAAACATATATAAGGTAAAACTTACTCTTACTATTAGCACTAATTTTTTAGGCTAAGAGGTCCTAGCTTCTAGTCTAAACTTTACTTTAAAAATTACTAATAAAGTTAGTATTAGATTATAACTAACAGTTATCTAGTGTTGTTATAGCAGTAATAAACACAATTAGCTATGTTTAAGGAAAGTAGAGAGTGTTAGCGCTGTTTTTAATTAGATTTTAACCTAAAACATGTAGATAAAGTAAGAATCTGTACCTGTTGCGTCCTTAGCAGATAGGGATTAGCTAGTAAGGTAGAACAGCAAGAGGAGAAAGGAAGCTAGGTTAGTTAGATTGTTTATTGTGGGGACTGTGCGCATAAGCGAGCTGTTACGTAATCCTTCCTAATCAGGACTAGCCACCTTCTTCCTGGAAAGGAAGGCTAATCTGCTCGTCATGCCGTACTGGGCAAAGCCTATCCAACCTTACAGCAATAATGGCACAAGATAGTGAGCACTCGGACACGACTGTTTTCATGCCTCATGGTAGGCTTGGAGGCCTTTCGGAATATTTTGACTGTATTCCCCATTATTTATTCCGCACCTCTTCACCTCGATCTAGCGGCACCACTACCAAGACTTTTATCGCATCGGCTGCGGTAAAGCATCACTTAGATCAGAGTGATATCTTAGGTCGATACTGGGAAGAAGCTGTCGAGATGCTTAAGAGTCATTTGTTATGGCAGAATCATACGGACGATAACTTGATGTCATGGACGAACTCGTTTCTCTTTGCGGCCCAACATGCTATACGTCGAGAGGCAACTGATCGGCCAGCTTCCACACCAGAGTCAATATACATTTCAATTCTGGATACTCGAAAAGTCCCTCGAGGAACATTCCTACCCGCTGTCGCTTTACTTCAAGCGTACAACATCGAAAGTACGGGCAAATTACGACACGATTACTACTACGGCGAATATGTGTCACAGGGCAGGCTATCCAGTGACACGATTATAACTACTACGCTGGACAAGTTAATTGCGTATGGTTTGTACAGGTTATATCCTCCATTTGCCGAAGTTTCGGAGAGAAGCCGGCTCTGCCTCCGTGTTCTTCAGCTCCGCGAAACATTTACGGATACACCAAAAGAACCAACTAATGAAGAAATTAAGATTGCAGAGACGATTTCCGTCGGCTGTTTTCTCCATATTGACATTCGTCCTGTAATTATGATGACCCTGTTGTCCCTTAAACCTCGATACCGCTTGGAGCCTAGGATTCTGGAGGCCTTCAAGGACAATTGCTGGGGTAAGAAGCGGTCCTAGCTCTCAGATTCTCACCCTGATGATTAATAGGGACTTTCGTGTCAGATCGTAGCCTTGAATGCTATAGGACAACGTCAGAACATGTTCCCGAACATAGGCAATTTACCGACATGATGCATGACGTCCACGCTCATACACAACGCGAAAGACAAATCGAGCGTGCCACTCGTGATGCAGCCAAACCACCGAAGGAAATCTTTGACCTTACGAATTTCCTGGATCAGTTACATCGTAAGAATTCTTAAGTGAGAATTTACAAAACAGTAGCTGACCATAGAAGTGACGCGCGATCGATTCGACGCAGATCAATCTGGTTCCAATACCTCAATTATGTCGGAGCGAGTAGATGATGAAGAGACGTACCAGAAGGATATGCAGGATGTCAATACTGGTATCACAATTAAGAAGATCCTACCACCTTCTCCAAAGACAATGATGATTGAGATGATGGAAGAGGAAGAAGAGGAACAGCAAAGAGCTTTAGACCAAATCGAAGATTGCTATGAAGAGACCAGACCTTGGTTAGTTAACCCTGTTGGTACGTACAACTGCTTACTATGGCAGTCCCGAATGTGCCGGGCGTATTAGCGAGACTTGTTTTCGCAGAAACCATTTCAACTGGTGCACGGCGCACAAACGTATGATAGATGAGGATGCGGTGTGCCCTCAGAATCCCTCAGACGACGCCCCGCCTTATGTGATGCGGTGCATAGCGGTATATTGCGGTCGGCCTATCCCGTAACCTACTAAACAGTACCCAGCTCTAACTATATCCCAGATAAGACCGAAGAGGAGGCATACTGGGCCGAGGTTGAAGAGAACGCAATGATAGGGGGTGCAGGATTTCGAGAGCCGGGAGAGCCTTATATCCATTAGTGATGAGGTTGACCTATAGGCGATGAAGTTGGGGAAGACTTGTCCTCGGTGCGACGACCATGGAGAAGAATAAGGGTAAGAAGCGCAAATGTGCTAATGTTACGCAAGAGGCAGAGGAAGTCACAGTGCAGACAAGCGAAGTACATATTGCGGATGAGAGTGCACCACCACCATATAGCGCCCCGGTGGCACGCGTGTACTGGCGGAGGCTGGCTTGCTCGCGGGATAATTGGGGGTTGGAGACTTGCACCGTACAAAGACTGAAATCCGCATATCGTCCCTGCCGCCCCAGCGTCGCGCCCGCCGTCCTGCGCTGCTGTTGAGATACGCTGCCAGGCTCATGCCTTTCGATGATCTTTTCGGCTTGCGTTGCCATTGTGTCAAGCTCGCGATCGGTGCCGCAGCTGTCTACTGCATCGTAGTGCCAGGATCGTCGGCGGTATCGCTGGCGGAGGGCGACGGAGGGCGACGAAGGGTGACGGAGGCTCTCTACGTAGTCTATCGCACGCTGAGAGTGCTCATAGCAGCACACCGCTTGTAGGAGAGCGTCAAAGAGCGCGTGGTGTACGAGGGTTGATGGAGGACGCGGGTGTTGGTGCTCGCTGTGCTTGCAGTGCTTCCGGCACAGCATTCCTGGCCTGCTGATGTAAGGATATAGCCACGAGCCACCTAGCCACATATTATCTAATGAATATATGGCGTATTGAAAGGATGCGGAATTATTTCGGCGAGGGTTGGTGGTCGCTTTGATTGGATAGCTTTCGTCCGAGGTACCGAGAGGGGTGGCGAACCCTCATGAAATGCTTGCTACTCGCAGCCTTAGGCTAAATAATTCTCCTTACCGATACTATTCGAGTCTTAGGCCTAGCTGCAGGCCCTCGATGAATCGTGAGAGCAGCAGATTCATTATGGCGGATCTCTTAGGAGCACCGCTCGTTTTCGCCATGTAAACGAGCCTGTGTAAGTTATGTAGTAAGGCATGAACGTAAAGGTAATTTTTATTTTTAATGCGTGCAAGATATAAAGAAGTAGCCGTAGTATAGGACACTATAAAAATAGTATGTTATTTAAGAGGTGTGCGGACTACCTTTAGCTTCATAGTTAAAGTACCGATTTTTTCCCGTTACGGTGGTTGTTCCGTTACGGTTGGATGGACGTTATTCTAATTACAAGCTAAGTCCCTATAAAGAGTCCCTCTTGTAGCGCTTGTAGCTCTTGCACTGCAGATTTTAATCCTTAAGATTAAGCGTCAAAGACTCCTTTTAAACGTATAGCAACAGACAAATTCGCCTCAGATTCCTCTTGTAGTCTCTAGTTTACTTCTTTTAGATGCTCTAGTTCTTTTTCTGCGTGCTGTTAGCGTTCTAGTTTAACTAATACCTATGTTCTTATTTCCTCTATTGCGTAACTTAAGAGGGTGTTCTCTTCTTATAGTTAATTAATTAGAGCACTAAAACTAATGTCTGTTTTACTAATAGTTAACACTACAGCGCTGTCTAACATACCTAAGGAGTTAGCAGAGTTTCCTTGTTTTACTAGAATAGCCTTAAAAGTCTTTCTAACGCTATTGCATAGCTTTTTATATGCGTTAATAGAATAATTACTTATGTTTTTTAAGAACAAGTGTTTTTTCTTAGAGAAAAATCTCTAAGCGTACAGATTGTCTAGGCTTAGAAGGAGACAAACCTAAGCTAGCTTTACAACAATACTAAGTCTACTTTCTAGAACTTATTAGCTTCCCTAAATACAGGAGCTAGTTTGTATTACGTATATGTGTTAATAGTTCCTTACAGCACTTTATCCTCTACTCTTGTTGTTCTAGATTGCTTACGCGAATTAGAGCCATAGATTTGTCAGATTGAAGCACTGTTTCTGGGCTTCCTGAGATGAATGATGGGTTTGGATGTGATGTATGGGATGATGATTGATTGTATTGATTTATCGATCCTTTTTCTGCTCTACTCGTGTTGCTCGGCTTTTTGTTTTGCCGATCCGAGTGTTACGGCCAACAGACAGACCGTAATGACCCAACTGGCTGTCCCACACAGCCAGAACGATGTCGGATGGAAAACCCTTAGCCCCGTGCTGAAC